CAGTTCGCCGCCCCACGTGGGGCGGCGAACTGTTCTCTCAACGGCCAAACTCCCCTGGCATGCTTATCTCTCTATTTTGGCCGATTTCTACTCTTTCCAGCCGCCTCCTCAAGCCTGGTAGAGGCTACCGACGAGGGTCTGCGGCCTCCATCATCCGATTCCTTTTGTCGACGAAGGAATATTATTACATAATATTGATGATAACTGTTGACTACTACATGGTCACAGTCTTTTGGTAAATGACCCAGCCAATTCCTACCGCTATTTACTGACTCTATACAAGGACGTCGTTTTTCTCCTTGCTATATATGAGATTGGTAGGGACTGAGCCCGCAGTGACAGTCGAGCCCACACAAGCAGATATCGGACATTCCTGTCCGGATCTAGAGCCTGTCGAGACACAAGCCTGCAGTCCAGACCCTGTATGCCCGACTCCCCAAGTTAGCCCTCCACATTGCTAAAACAGCCTCGATGCTAGACCAATAGCCTAATATAACTGTAGCCTAGTGTAGGGGGCTGCTATATATTTCCTTGGGGGCATGTAGGCCCTGGTGCCGAGGAGCTGGCCTGTGTAAGCCCTGGAAATAGTCTGACACCCAGGCTCCCCGGATAACGGTAGCCGACAACATCGGCATGTCAAATAGCCGCACAAGGGGCCCGAAAGATAGGCTATCAGTCATCGCGCGTTGTGCCTGGGCGACATTCCGACCGCCGGGCGGCCGGGTGGACCGCCGTCCCTGTCGTGCGGCGCGGGCGCCCGGGCTTTGGCCTGCGGCCTGCTCTAACAAGCGACACGGTGTGCCCCGATTAGCCACGCCGGCTTTACGGCGGATAAAGGAGGATCTCCGTGTGTCTCCGCTGTATTTTGAGGACGTTATCAGATCGATTATTGCCAGTAATCTGTTTGCACGCGCCTCGGAGACCCCGAGGATCCCGCCACGACTACCGACGCAGTATAACGCGGTCGTGCCACCCGCTTGCACATGTATTTTTAAAAAAGTGTATAGCTGGCATTGTGTTCTCGAGATCACTGTAGATATATATATGACTTATGGCTTGTTTTTGTACGTCTTTCATGTGGTATTACTTTTTTCTGGACGCCTCGTCACATGAGAATAAGTCTTACTCAACAAATCCCCAAATCCCTCGGCCATACGTTGTTCCCGATTTGGTGGTGACACTTGGTCTGTCGTCAGCTAGTCTAACCCCTGAGATTCGATCAGACAAGGGCTTTTGGTCGTGCATACTTCAGATGCATGTTCTGTACGGAGGTCAAACCTCTATCTATGGCCAATACTTCAGGCTAAGGACGTTCAGTGACTGGGTTACATCTATCTGTCGTATGCTTGAAGTATTGCTGAATGCCTAAAATTGACCATTTGATGGTCAGTCACTTGCAGAGGCACAGTCTGACTTTGCGTTCACCCCCTCTCTCTAGTATCTATTTAACCGTATAGATCTAATTTAGAAGTCTCCAGGTTGAATGGTCTTCCAAGCGAACCTTTGTTACTATTACTACAATGTATCAGCGCATATGGAACTGGCAAAGACGTGTATTTCACTATTTGGGAGGACAGTCCCAGCAGTTTTATATACAAGCCCTACCCCACCCAATTGTACGATTGTAGTCTAGTACCGAGTTAGTACAACGGGAACAGAAGAAATGAGACGAGACATTTGCATGATTCAAAGTTTGTGACATTATATTCACACGGATTCCTGTTCTCTCAGTCATATACAATTTTACAACAGGGCAAAATAAAATTTCTTTACTTCTGATAGAAAAATACAAAAGAACCACAAAACACAAAACGTTACACTCAGACGAAGGAACAAGCGATTTGTCCAATGGTAAATGTGGTTACAAAATTGTCAAAGTTTGATTGCAGAAGCTGGCACATGATTGGCTACTACACTGATTGATACACAGGATTTGGAAACATGATTGGTTCTTAAAGCAATTAAATTCACGTGGCTATAACCTTCATATCAAAGGGTAAACTTAACGATGATGCACAAAGCATTTCGCTAAAACGTCTGGACACACAAGACCTGCTTGTCGAATGGTCTATGGCCGGACGAAAAATACAAGTAGACGCTAGCTACTACATTCAATTATTTCACATTTGGTCTGTTAGTCAGTAGTAATATTTCCAATATTTACAGTCAGTCTATTATTGACAAGTCCAGCAGAGTTCGTTGTGTTCAGTAGGCGTTGACTTCGGATCCCCACGGCCTGTAGGGTTTGGTGATGATCTGTGATTGCGTGGTGCTGGTGGCTCCGTAGCCGGTAGGAGAGAGATGGAGAGTGTTGAAGGTGACGGGAAACTGCGTGGACGAGATGAGAGTTGGAGAGATCTGTGCCGTGGATGATGCTGGAACGGACGCGGCCACGGGTAGATGCGCGGAGGTCTTGAGATAGGTGTTCGGAGTGGAGCAGGCGATGGCGGCGGGCTGGCGTGGAGGGTCGTGGAGCGTGGTGGCGTGGAGGAGCCCCTGGGCGTCCGGCGCCGCCTGGACCGACGCGAACTGCGGGTGCGGCGCCGAGACGCCGTTGACGTTCCACGGGGACGTGTGGCGCATGCCCGCCGCCGCCACAACTTGAGCCTCCCGCTGGGCCGCGATGCACTGGAGGTGGTTCATCAGGCGGATACGTAGGGGGTCTTGGATGTCGAGACCCTCTATTGTCACCATGTATCTGGCCACCTCGTTGGCGCACTCCCTGAACCCGATCCCCCGGTAGTCGATGAAGTGATCGTCGTAGGCATGGTAACCTGTAATACACAGGGGAAAACTTGGTTAGAGACCCTGCCAAAATGATACCAATTGTCTGTAACTAATTCTCCTCATTGTATATATCGTAACTCAAGTTTGGACCTAACCAACACAAGATGACTTGAAAGGAAGGATGGTGGGCAAATTCCACAACACCGTATCTTTAGAGCCAAATAAATCGAAAGCAATATCTACGGCGATAACAGACTTCTAATAAACGAGTGGTTTTCCTCATGAAGAGTGCATATCCGTACAATAAACTGCCGTACAGCATAGAGACCAGGCATGGGGAGTCCTTTTTCTAAGGCTAACAAAAGAAAGACCCAAGGCAAGAGACGACCAATTTTCCAACGTGTTAGTACAGCCACAAACGTCTGCAACCGATCATCAAAAACTGAATTTTTTCATAGAATCTTCCTGCTTCAAAGGATTGAGATTGACTATAGTTCTGTTGTTACTATATTAACTAAATCTGTGCAAAAACAATTTTCCATTCTCAGTTATCATTTCCTGAGAGATACCTTCTGCCCGACAGAACCACTTATTTTCCTATAAAAATCGCCGTCAGCAAAATTTAAATTTAAGAAACCTTTCAACTTTTAGCACCCATGTCGAGCTAATCCACGGTAGTCTCGAGTATTGTGTATTCAAGTCTTCCGCTTTTGAATTGTGAGAGAAAAGCCCTTGACGGACGTCAGAGGTTCGATAGCCGAGTGAAAAGCCGCCTAAGAATACTACAGGCACCCGCGGTCCTTTCTGCGGCCTGAAAGGGTTTTACCGAAATCTCAACAGTCGCCACAATGCCGGCGGGCGTACCCTTACACGGCCCGGCCTTTAGGACACAACCCGGCCACTTAACGTAAGAAAATAGAGGCCGCTATCCCACGGTATCGCTTACACGAGTCTGCTTGTCTTGACAAACATGCATTACGCTTTAGCCCTCAACCAATACCGCTATATCCGAGCAGTCTCTAAAACTTAAACTGTTCTTATGAAGACAAAAGAGTGAGCGATCTTTACCTTTCGCGGCCAGCATTTTCAGGTAGTCCACCGTCATTTGCAGGATTTCCGCTTTCTCCAACTTGGCTGACCCCTGGAGGATAAAAACAAGCACGGAACGTTGGTCGGGGTGAAGCCACACAAAGGGCAAGGCAGGTGTCATACCGGGATTTACCCTCTAGCAAAACGATTTGACGACATCGTGACAACAACAATGGTGCCAGCCAGACAACAAGTGTGGTGTGACGGAGACACAACACAAGTAAAGCCGCCGGATTCTTGCGGCACAATCGTTAAAACAGAAACGGAAGTGGGCAAGAAATTCAAGACCGTGAGAACAGACTGCACTAGTGAGATGGCAGAGTCGTACCGCTGTAGAAATGGTACAATAATAATAGTAATACCACCGTACCTGCTTCTCGAATGCGGTCGGGACGAGTCGTCGGAGTTCGGCGAGACAATTGTTGATACGGTCGCGGCGCCTCTTCTCGATAATCTGCGGCGATAACGGATTAGCGCGGTTAGAATACATACACACCGATTGTTACCCTTACAATAAACATCAGCAGAAGAAATCAGTAAATCATACGAAAAATGGTGGTAGAAATAATCATATGTGGTGCACTTACCCCTCGTCGCTTCTTTCTTGAACTCATTTGGCAGCTTTGGCTGGGAGACCTGTAGAGGGAACAACAGATTGACACGCGTTAGACAAGCGGCACTAAATATCTCTAACCCCTCAACGTCCCAACGGCACGTGTCGATCACAACCAACGCCAAAATATTACAGAAAAAAAAATCAGAAAAATGTTCAGTAAACTGCTGGAGATAAACTTACCCCTTAGCTTCTTCGAAAACGCTGTCGTCTTCACTCTCAATGCTGTCGGAAAAGCTTCGCTTCATGTTGGGAGTGGTGTGTGTGGGTTTGGTACTTGGCGCGGAACGATTGGCAGACACGTCCTCACTCCTCTGAGTCTGAACTCGAAATGCCGCTCCGTTCCCACGGTTGGGCTCAATAAAAAAATTTCGAGTGTGTGAAATCCACCCCTCCCCAGCGGGCATGGCCGGGTGATTGACAGGCGATCAGCTGTTCAACATGCCCCGGCGGTGCGATGCTGGCTTCTGATTGGTTGCGGTGATCCCAGCTGATCGCTCGCGGCGGTGCGACGCGCGACTTGCACACGCGGGCCGTGGGAACGCTCCGGGCCGCCCGCGCGGGCCAATCAGCGCCCGTCCCGAGTTTCTGCGGGTTGACAGGCCTTTCTCGCTTCGCTGAACAGTTCACTAAATATACCGTGTGAACCGAGTTTCTTCAGTTTTAGCCCGCAGTTTCTCCGCGAAAATCCCGAAAATTCAGGTCAGAGGCGCGAGTTTCGGTTGGTCGTGGCGTTGCCGTGGTAACCGACGGGTTTCTTGCGGCGGAATATTTTTGTACCGCGGCTATTTTGGATTTATTGTCAAGAATGCACGGAATCGAAGACAAATGTTGTCTTTACAGCCACTCCGCGGCTGTTTGTTACCCGTCGCCACGATACAACGACGGGCCGAGTCACCAGAAACTCGACGCGTCCAAATCTAACAGAATCTTCACGACTCTTCGCGAAAAACTCGCACTTTTTCTACCCATAGGAACCTTTCCCACGGTCCAACCACTGTTTATTTATTTTTAGCTTTCAGATGCAAAGAGCACACGTGATCAAATTAAGTCTAATTAGTAACAGCCGGCCGTTGACAGGAGTTATCAAGCCGTCGGTGCTCCATGTCTGCAGGGCACGACGGCAGGGCGGCTCTGGGGCTTGCCAAATGCCTGGAAAGCACGCACCGCACGCACCCGTATCCAACACCTTTCACTCAAAATCCCACCAGACCCCTCTTGCCACCATCCCTAGCCTCCACCAGGCTTCGGGGAGCGGCTGGAAAGAGTAGAAACTGGCCAAAAAGACAGATAACATACCAGGAGAGTTGGTCCGCGCCTAGACTCAGAGAACGGCAAACTGTTCTCTTGGTGCGGACTAACTCCCCTGGCATGTTATCTGTCTACTAGTATATGGAAAATTTCTACTACTTGTATTTCCAGCCGCCTCCCGAAGCCTGGTAGAGACAACACCCACCCCTACCTAACGCTTATGTCAACCGTTCCTAACACCGCGCCTCGCCGGTGTAAGTTTTTCCCATGCTTAAAAATTCACAGATTACCCAGCCGAACAATAGGAGGCGTGGAGCCACAATGGGAAGTCATTGTTTGGGGTGGAGCGTTGAGCGTCTACGCTTCGTGGCTTCCTTTCAGTTGTGGAACTTGTAATTGTCTCCTCATAATTGATAGTAAGAGGACGCGCCCGATAAATGAATGCTGCCTTTCACAGTGAGGGAGAGGGAAAGGGAATGTTGGTTCGCGGGTCGGAAAGTTTATTTAACGCAACAGTCCGCGGGTTGTGCATGCGTTGCAACGTAAACACCCGCCTCCTGTCCCCAGACCGTCCATCAAACGCGCTCTACCCCCACGGGGGCGATCGGACGGCCGGGAAACATTCCTCCGCTGAAGCCCTACACCGTCCCCCGGGGAGGTGTGAGACACTTTACGGAGAGACAGCGGGGTTTATTATCTTTAGAGAGGTGTCAGGTCCAACAGATGGGATGAATAGGACTAGGCTTCGCGCCGGCATGGGAAAAGATGGCCAACAATAGGGTGATGGGTTTACAACTCTGCTAATCACCCGGTACTCTATCAGCAAGCTTTATTATGTAGTCAATTATGTTGTTCCGCGACCGACCTTCTTAGCGCGTTAGAGAAGCCTCGTTTACTGCCAACAGTTGAAAGGTTGCCGACGTAGAAAAGGCCACACGAAACATCTCGAGACGTCAAAACACGACGTCTGCGATGCTTCATACGGGAAGCTTGTCTGTCAATGGTTATTTTGTGGCATGTTGTATTAATTAGAAGGATTATGCTGTACATGTACATGTATTGCTCGGACACAGCGAGCGCCAAGTATTTTATCAAACTTCTTGGTACACAAAAATACGCTGGCACTAGATAATAAAACAACTTCTTCGGGATCGGTAATACTGTAGAAAAAAGTTGACTAAAATCGATCGCGAACACAGAAATAGGAAAATTGCTACCGGCACTCTTTAGATGATGCAGTCTGAACCTTGGATTAAAAGATCAACTACGACGACGATGAGACCAAAATGATCTGTAAAAAAAAGGATCCCGACCTAAAAAGTAAACTTTCCGAAATCGCACTATTAAAATTACTTCATTCTGATAATATTTATCACAATGCCGATCAAATCCTTCTAATTTTCCTGATTTTTCCTGACCGTTTATCGCCTGCCCGCCTAACGGGCGTACGTAATTGAAATGTCATGGCGGCCGGGGTTGTCGCCTTGCCCCGCGCCGCTCCCGGCGTTCCCCCGAACGTCGGTCGGGGCTGGTCGGCCGCCGGTCGGCAATTAGGAATGTCTGATCCCCGGGGGGTGTTAGCCAATCAGCGGGCCGGGCCGGGTATCGGCGGTGACAGCGCAGGTATTTTCCCACAGCCTCAGCGGCCGCCTGTAATCGTATCGCCGTGCGACCGACGTGCGCTCGGGCAGACGCGCTCTTCCCACCGGTGCGTTCCCTCCCTCTGGGGGGCAGCCAACCGTCCCTTACCACTTTCCCGCGTATTTGTACAACCTCTCCAAACCTCAATACGCTACCAAACAACCTGTTGTAAACTTTCCAACAACCTTTTCAACAAAAACGGTGGTTTTTAGAAAGTTGTAAAACCGCCAAATCGACGCGTGTCGTGATCTATGGTGAGCCGGTACAAGATTTTGGGAGAAGATTATCGGCGAGGCGCTAATGCGCACCAGAAACCGGAGAGGCTGGGAGATAGCGCGGAAGAATGTTGTTTTCAAAGTGCCAAAGTGATTCCGTATGTTGGATCACACAGACGGCACCTCGCGGCGTGCCTGACAACTTGTCTTTCGGCAGATGACGCGCGAAAAGTTAAAGAAGTCTCCACCAGCCTCCTTAGGGTGCTGATTGTAGGCATCCCTCCATCTCTAGGGATGATGCAAAGTCTGGTATTGTGGCTGCTGAGGAAACTTGTAGAAACCGGTGGCTGACTAAAATATATAAATTAACTTTATTGCTCAGTAATCGTACATATTGATGAATGAAAAAAATGAATGAAAGGAATCGCAGGTTATAGTGATAAAGCAATTCTAATGTCTAATATCTACAGTGATACACTAGTATATTATAAGAGTGGCTATTTGGCCAATAGTCTCATCAACATCGGTGGTATATCAACAGTCTATAACATGTTCTAGTAGTAATACTTTTGAACAACTGATGGGGGCAATAATTAGAATACGAATTTGTTAACCCGCAAAGGAGTCTGCTAAAGACTACACAAGTGCAGACGGACGTGGCCAAGTCTTTAGAGACGTCGCGTTGTTGTTTTGTCGCGTGTTTGCGGGTCGCCTTGGCGCATTGTGCGCGAGTGGCATACGAGAAAGGTGCTAAATAGATTAGAGTGCGTGCGCGTGCCGGCATGTCACTACAGTTGCCGCTGGTGTGATTTACCCAACCTGGCGGGTGTCAGCCCCCCGTAGGGCGGAGAACTCTGACCTCTACCCTCGTTTTTCACCCCCTCCCTTCTCCATCTTCAAACGACCCACGTGGGAACTACTGTTTAGTGTCGTCCGGTGGAGAGAAATACGGCGGGAAGTTTCGCCCAGCCTCGCGGTGAGAGAGGGAAACGAAAACACGTCTTGCTGCCACAGTAAACAATGATTAAAACCCCGCTGACGACCGCAGCTGCTTTCCCACACTCCCCTTCCCCGACACACACATACACACACACTCACACATGCCCTGATTCGCTTAGACAGACGGCGTTTGGCAATGACAAGGATTTGGCGCGAACACAAAGGCCTTCCTGTTATGAGAAGCGCGCTGTCAGGAGGACCAGTCCATTCAGGTGGCCGTCGCGGGGTTGAGTGGATGAAAGGCCCTGGGGTGTTCGGGTTCAGGAAGCTCGAGTCTCGGCGCATGCCGGAGCGGCGGTCCACAGGTGGGCAGTGTTTCGGCCCATAAAGACCCGAACCTCCGCCCGCTAGCATAACTGTGCGACGGTCTAACAAAGGAGGGAGGAGCCGCGGGCGCCCCGGACAAAGGATACCTGAAGGCTTTGACTGTCCGTCTTTATTTACGGACAAAAGCCCATTCTCCGGCGGACCATTATGTGTTTGGGTAGCGGGTATTGTTCGCAGTACTTTCCCATGGCTCGGCACAACGCTTGCCGTGTGCTCGCCATTCCCACCACTACTCCGTGACACGTAATTAACAGACATGTGCGCCTCTTGCCTACCGTAAACAAAACAAGCCAATTGAGGCGATTGCGGCGCTCGTGGGAACGGAGATTTTCTCACACGGTCCGCAGGCGCCTGGCAGCCCGATGATGGAGCACGAAGGCCAAGTTTGCTATTAAATCTCCCAGCAGATGGTTGGATGGCAAATCCTTACGTTAACTGGTTGCGCAATTTGTCTCATGTACACGTATTAACTACATTTCTTTTGATTCATTTTATTTCATGTATTTTTACCAGTAGCAAGGACATTCTATGTATAATGTCCTTGCCAGTAGATATACACCAACTTATGATACATCCCCACATAAGTATAGCTTATAAGGCTTCAGAATCTCCCAGTAGATGGTTGGATGGCAAATCCTTACGGTTGCTGGTTGCCCAGTCTCTGTGTATGTGTGAGAGAGATTTAATGTTGGGGTATGATAAGAAGACATGAAATTCGTAAATCAACATTTTATTCGCACTTAGGGCTAGGGCAACATTTATGGAGTGTGGGCCGGTATGTTACTTCGGAGAGAGGCAGTGGAAAGAGTAGAAACGCAGGGCCAAAAAGAGAACGGGAGCGGCAAACTGCATTTTTGAGCGGACCAACGTTAACTCCCCTGACATGTTATCTGTCTATTTGGCCTGACTTTTCTTTCCAGCACCTTCCCGAAGCCCGGTAGAGGTACTCTCCAAGCAGAGGTTGTGGGGGAATGATCGTTACATTTTTATATACTAGTATGGCCGGTTTTTTTTTGTCCTGACCCCCACCAACGGTGGCCACTGACCTTCTCTGGCTAATGGAT